CAAGGTGCAATCCACAGAAGTTTCCAGATATGCAATGAGAGAAGTATGGTAAGGTAAGAGGTGGATGTCTGGCTGTATAGGCAGGACTCTGCAGATATTCATAGCTGTTTACAAGGTCAAAACAAGTTCATTAGGCTTGATATTCTGATCCAGAGGATAGCAACATCTTTATTAATTGATAAGGTACTGCTTTTAAAGTCATAATAAACATTATCAAAGCATTTTTAGAAAATATGAACAGGCCATCACTTAGGGTGCTTAGGTATGATCTTACATGTCTGTTAGATTTTACTTCCTTTTCTCCGTTCAAGAGGGAAGTGCTGTTTTCTATTCTGCTCATGGTGGAACTGAATACCCAAGATTTTTTTTTTCCATTTATTGTTATTAGTTGGAGACTAGTTACTTCACAATATTGTTTTGGTTTTTGCCATATATTGACATGAATCAGCCATGGATTTACATGTGTTCCCCATCCTGATCCCCCCTCCCACCTCCCTCCCCATCCCATCCCTCTGGGTCTTCCCAGTGCACCAGCCCTGAGCACTTGTCTTATGCATCCAATCTGGACTGGCGATCTGTTTCACACTTGATAATATATATGTTTCAATGCTATTCTCTCAGATCATCCCACCCTCACCTTCTCCCATAGAGTCCAAAAGTCTGTTCTATACGTCTGTGTCTCTTTTTCTATCTTGCATATAGGGTTATCATTACCATTTTTGAATCCCCAAGTTTTATAATCACTGGGTACTTCTTGTACTTGAAACATTTTTTCATCTATTTTCTCCCATAATCTGGCTTCCATTTTTAATATTACTTAACTTGTACCTGTTAATATCACTAATAATCTACTAGTAGCCTCATCTGATGATCATCCATTTAATTATCTTCTGATATTTGACATTTCAACATTTCTTCCTTGAAACTCTTTATACCTTTGATTTCAATTCCTATTCTCTCTGTCCTCCCATCTTTCCAAACTTTTCTGCTTTTACAGGAAACTCTAATGTCCTGACACTCCACAGAAACATGGAAAATACTGGGGGAAGTGGTATCAACTTCATGAATTTGAAAAACTACTGATGGTTCAGAGCAAAGAAGTGAACACTTAAGAAAAAGGCAACTGGAATCAGATTAGTAAGCTTTTTGACAATTTAGCTTATTATTTCTCCAACATCCCCTTCTTGGCAGTGGCAGTGTTGCAGATGGCACCACCGTCCCTGTGCGGATTCTTAGTGATGAAGAGCAAAAAGATGTGGTTTTCTATTTTGATCTTTCTTTTGACTCCTCAAAGGATTCGCAAAATGTACTTCGAACAAAGAGATTCCAAGTTACTTTGCCTAACTTGGAATTTCTCTCACGGTGGGAAAGCAGCTATGTGGAATGTGATTGTTGAGCATATTTAAGGACAGATGAATTACCTGCTGGTGTCTGGGATAGAGAATACGAAATGGGGCAAACAGTAGGCGCACTGAAATTTCTGGGAGGAAAGACTGGAGAGGGAGATGCTTTGGAAGTACGACCATGAAAGTATTCACATATTATTTAGAATTTAAACGACTAGGCAGAAAGCCTGTTCAGAAAAAAAGCCTTAATTTCTCACCTCTGACTGATAGTCAAGGCTCTGGGCAAGCAGCATGTGAAGACAAAGGTAAATAATTATTAAATGTTTAAATGTTCAGCAGAGTATTAAAAGAAGTCCAAATGTACACAGGAATGTGCACGTGCGCACATACACACACACAGCCGAACAATAAAGTTTGAGAAAGTTTATTTGGATCCAAAGTTTAGGAAATCTATCACTAGCTGATCATTAAGATAACAGAACAGAGACTTTAGTGATCCCATATAGCAAAAAAATATAGTCTATAAAATTTAGTTTATAAAACTCATTAAGCAAACAAACAAATACAGTCTACAATACAGCAACAATATATCTCAAGGGGGAGGTACATAGCTGATTTCTGAAATTGTGACAATTTAATATTCACAATATTTAGTTTTCAACAATAAGGAGAATAAATATGATGCATGCAGAGAAATGAGAAAGTGACTCTTTCACAAGAACAAATCAAATAGTAGAATTTGAGACTCTGGGCTTGTCAGAAAAAGAATATAAACTGTCTTGAATATACTCTGAGAGCTAAAGAGAGCCATGTACAAAGAATTAAAAGAAACCAGGAGGATGCAACAACTTATGTATAAAGGGAGTCCCAGAAGAACACTTGAGGGAAATTGGCAGAACAAATGTTTAAAAAAATAATGACTGAAAATTTCCCAAAGTTGATGAAAGACACAAATCAATGTGTTCAGGAAGCTCAAAAAACTCCAAGCAGGATAAACTTAAAGAGATCTATCCTGAGACATATTGTAATCAAATTGACAAAAGAGTAAGATGGAGGACCTTGAAAGCAGCAAAAGAGAAGTGACTTCTCACAAGAAGTGTATCAGTAAGATTAGTAAGATTAGCTTCTAATGGGAAGTATGAGACTTAGAAGGTAATGGGATGTCATATTTAAAGTTCTGGGGGAAAAGCTCTTAACCAGCAAAACTATATCCAGCAAAACTATCCTTCAAAAATGAAGGATATTATCTAGTAACAAATTAAGCCATGCTACAACTTGCATGAAAAGGCAAAATATTATGAAAGTGAAGGATATTCAACACAAAGACCATGTATTGTATGATTCCTTGTATATAAACTGCATATAATAATATATAGATACATAGAGACATACATGGAACACTTTTTCTGGGACCAGAAAAGGAAGTAATGGGGAGCAACTGTTCTTATAATGCATAAATGATTTTATGTTGAAATGATGAAAATGTTTTAGAACTAGATTGAGGTGGTAGTTGTACAATACTCTGAATACTCTAAATGATACTGAACTGTTTGTCTTAAAATGGTTTTGTAATATGAATTTCAACTAAAATTATTTTTTAAAGAAGGAGAAATTTAGACATTCCCAGGTTAGCAAGTTGAAGTTTGTTTTTGGTAGATATACCCTCTACATAATGCTTTGTGATCAACATAGTCAAAGGCTTTAGCGTAGTCAATGAAGCAGAAGTAGATGTTTTTCTGAAATTCCCTTGATTTTTCTATGATCCAACAGATGTTGGCAATTTCATCTCTGATTCCTCTGCCTTTTCTAAATCCAGCTTGTACATCTGGAAGTTCTCGGTTCAGGTACTGTTGAAGCCTAGCTTGAAAGATTTTGAGCGTTATCTTGCTAACATGTGAAATGAGTTCAGTTGTGTGATAGTTTGAACATTCTTTGGCATCGCCTTTCTTTGGGATTGGAATGCAAACTGACCTTTTTCAATCCTGTGGACACTGTTGAGTTTTCCAAATTTGCTGGCATATTGAGTGCAGCACTTCGACAGCATCATATTTTAGGATTGAATCAGATGTACTGTGCTTAGTTGCTCAGTTGTGTCTGACTCTTTGTGACCCTGTTGACTGTAGCCCACCAGCCTCCTCTGTCCATGGGGATTCTTCAGGCAAGAATACTGGAGTGATTTGCCATGTCCTTCTCCAGGGGATCTTCCCAACCCAGAGATTAAACCCTGGTCTCCCACACTGCAGTGGATTCTTTACTGTTCTGAGCCACCAGGAAAGCCCTGAATCAGATGCATATGTGTTAATTGGAGCCACTAAATTAATGTTAATAAAGGAAATTGTTCTCTATCTAAGGCAGTGCAGTAGGTGTTTACTCAGGATTCTGAAAGCTCTTGTCACTCAGATGGGATTTGCCCTTTCACTCTGGCCAAGGTTGGCTGCTGAATTTTTTCCCCAAATACCTCGATACCCAAGCCATAATACAACATCACTGCCTCAGTTTTACCACAGTGTGTGGATTATCATAGTTCATGTCTCTAGCCTATGTTAAGAAATACTTCAAAAACCTTAACATGTTTTTCTTTTGTTTTTTTTGGGGGGGGATGAAAGGCATTAACATTTCCTTTATTTTCTTTTTTTTCTTTTTTCATTTATTTTTATTAGTTGGAGGCTAATTACTTTACATCATTGCAGTGGTTTTTGTCATACATTGAAATGAATTAGCCATGGATTTCCATGTATTCCCCATCCTGGTCCCCCCTCCCACCTCCCTCTCCACCCGATCCCTCTGGGTCTTCCCAGTGCACCAGGCCCGAGCACTTGTCTCATGCACCCAACCTGGGCTGGTGATCTGTTTCACCCTAGATAATATACATGTTTCGATGCTGTTCTCTTGAAACATCCCACCCTCGCCTTCTCCCAGAGTCCACAAGTCTGTTCTATACATCTGAGTTTTTTTTAATTCCTTGAAGTAATTGGCTGGAGACAGTGCTCTCTTCATCACACAGTGTGACTGTTTTACAACAGTTGTGAAGATCAACTTCCTTTTGGACAAGATCTTCCTGCTTCTATCAAGCAATTGTTTGTTTTAATGTTCTGGACACTGTCAATCTTGTGATTGCTCATTATAGATTGGTTATGCAACTTTTCCATTCCCCTCTTCCCTCTTGACAGAGCCTGATTACATCTGGGAGTGCTAAGATGCCCAGCAAAGATACCATATTTTCCACATCCTTTTCAATCATGGACAGTACTGGATATTATGTTAAGTTATTGGGTGGGAATATTGAAATGCTCTATAGAAGCCTTTTCCATTTCTATCTGGAATTTGCACAAGATGATAAGACTCTTGGAGCTGACATACCTTGGAAAACTACACACTATAGATGCAGGAACAGAGAGATAGAACGAACCTTGAGACATTGCTCATGTCCTTTTATGAGGGAGATAAACTAACCCTTAATTGTAAGTAAACAATATACTTTTTTTTTTTTATGTAATATGACTATCCTTTCAGGAAAGTAAGATGAAAATTACTTGGGATAGCATATATTATTTGAGAAGAAATTATTCTTAAGAAATCCTTGTTGTTCTATGAAAGAAATAAAAATATCCAAATATTTCAGATCAAAAGTTGGGAAAAATTTTGTGGCATAAGACAAAGGATAAATGGGAAAACTTTATCAGACTCCGGAAGTGAATTACAAAGTGAGTTACTTAAATTGTATAAAGAGGTGGAGACAAAGAAATGGACACTCATGGAAATCAATAGAAAGAACAAGGTCTACGTCCACAAAGTGATCAAGGAAAAGCAGTTCCTGGCTCAGTTGCTCTCTGTCCTGCAGTCAAGGGCACTTCTTGAGACTCAGGAAAGTCATCCTGGTTAGAGCTGCTGTCCCATAAATGCTTTCAGAGCTCTAGTTATGTCTTTGTTCCGCAGACTGTAGATGAAAGGGTTCAGCATGGGTGTGACCACAGTGTACATCACTGAGGCTGCTGCACTTGAGTGTGAGCTGTGGGTAACAGCAGAGCTAAGGTACACCCCTAGGCTTGTACAATAAAACAGGGAAACGACCAAGAGGTGAGATGCGCAGGTAGAAAATGCTTTATACATCTCCTGAGCTGATGCTATTCTACATATGGAGGAAATTATCTTCGAGTAAGAGTAAAGGATTCCAGCCAGGGGACCAATGGCCAGAAGCAGTGATGTAAAATATATCATCATGTTGTTAAGAAAGGTGTCAGAACATGCAAGTTGGATGACCTGATTGAGTTCACAGAAAAATTGGGGTATTTCTAAGTCTTCACAGAAGGTCAGATCCAAAACTATTAAACTTTGTAGCAAAGAGTTCAGGACACTCAGGATCCAGGACACCAGAACCAGCAGACCACAGAGGCGTGGATTCATGATGACCGTGTAGTGCAGGGGGTGACAGATGGCCACAAACCGGTCATAGGCCATCACAGTCAGGAGTAAGTCATCCAACACTGCAAAGAGTACAAAAAAATACATCTGTGTGATGCAGCCTTCGTAAGTTATAACTTTGTTCTTGCTCTGGATGTTCCACAGCATCTTTGGGATGGTGGTGGAGGTGAAACAGATGTCTGCAAAGGACAGGTTGGAGAGGAAGAAGTACATGGGGGTGTGGAGGTGGGAGTCTGAGCTGACAGTCAGGATAATGAGCAGGTTCCCCAATACAGAGATCAAGTACATGGAGAGGAAAAGACCAAATATGAGAGACTGCAGTGCTGGTGCATCTGAGAATCCCAGAAGAAAAAATTGTGAAATTAGTGTATCATTCCGTGGTTCCATGTGCTGGAGGTGACTACCAGAAAAATTTCAAAAGATTAATTTTCACATAAGCAAGACCTAATAACCTAGAATTAATGCTATGTTATATTGTAAATTACATTAATTTCTGTATTTGGTGGCTTGCCTGGTCCCCATTAAGGGCATCCTTATTCCATTTTTATAGAAATTCATTTCCCACTGTCAGCTTGATATTCAAGCATAATGTATACTACTGTTTTTGAGAATATCTTTCATGCATTTGAGGAATATATATTGACTACAGACCATATTCCAGGCATAGCCAGAGCATAGGGATGTTTAAAAATAAGTCTTTACAATCTAAAGACTAATGGCAGTGAGAAAATACAATCAAACAAAAATAATAACAATGTAACATGTCTAAAATAGCACAGATGCAATGAAGAAAAGGAAAGCATGTATAAAGGAAAGAGTGGATAGAATGTGTTATTTTTATTGGGAGTTCAACCAAGACATGCCAATAAGGTAGCACTTTAACAGACACCTTAAAGAAGAACTAGAGAGAAAGAGAGAAAGAAAGAGAGAGAGGGACAAGGTTACCTGAGGAAGTATGTGCCTGGCAGAAGGAACAGCCAGTGCAAAGGCCCTGGGGAAGAAGTGTAGTTCAGAAATGCAAGGCCCAGAATGAGCCAGTGTGTGATGGGGGATGAATAAGCCATAGAGTGATGAGAGATGATGTTAGCGGATGTTGAGGAGAGAGTAAACCCTGCCTGCTGCTGCTCAGGCTTTAAGATACAGGGAGCCCATTGTCCACACTATGTAAATCCTGCACTTTATTAATCTCATTGCAAAGGCATCCGGTGAATTGAAAATGATCCCTTCCTTAGCACTTTATAGAACTGAGTTACGGTCCCTGTATTATGAGTTACTTTGGAATATATCATTCAAGGTACCCTTACCCTGAGGACTGCTCTCAGTTCACAAGGCATGCACACACACACACAGACACACACTCACACAAGATTCCCAGGACTCCTAATCAATGTTGTTTCCATGTTCTTTCACTCCCTCTCACACTGTTTCACTGTTTAGGCTCTGAGTAGATACAGCTCTAGCTGCCAGATCAAATATTCTTTCTCTAGAGAATTTAGAAATGGCACCCAGAAATTCTTTAGTATCCCATGGACAAATAGACTTGAGTTCCATATTGGTATGTCCATTTTTTTGCTTTGTACTTAAATAAACATAAACAATCTGTCCATAAACATAGAGAGAGAGGACTGAAATGGACTTGAGAAAGAAAATATCTAATAAACTCAGGTGGTCCTTGAGAGACTTTGAGGCAGATAAAGCTTCTTTGGTTTTTGGCAACCTGATTAACCCCATTTGATGCCAAGCAAAAATAAAAATAATAAAATTGCTTAAAAGATAAAAATGGTAATAAATTTATGACATGAAACACTTTATAAAGATTGAATGCCCCTAAATAAATTAATTTTAAAAATAAAATAAAATAAAAACAAAACAAAAAACAAATGTTGAATGCCCCTAGTGAAAACTGATCAGAGAAAATAAAACAGTAATTCACAAAAGGAAATATACAAAATAAAATATGCCTTGACTGTTAATATCAAACAGAAGGAGACTTGTTTTCCTGGGACTGTCCTGTATTTGACCAGTTGGTTTTTATGTGATTCGATAGATTAGCGAAGCCCCTTTCTCAGTTTTCTTATGTGGCATCTCTCCTTTGTTTTTCTTCTACTGTGGGTTTTGATCTCATTCTGTTAAGTCCAGTGGGCATATTTTAATATCAACCTTTATCCAACCTGCGAAGACCTGAAAAGACCTCCCAGACAATAGCCTGTAAAATTCTATACATGCCATGACAATTCCATCCTTTCAATAACTGAATAAATTTATATGATTTAAGCCTGAGCACACTGTGACAGATATATTTATTCCATTGTACTATGACTTCTCATTATAATGCAAGATCCAAGCAAGCAGAATTTCACCTGTTTTGTTCACTTTCCTATTTTCAAATGTATGCAAATATATGTGCTGTGTTCAATTGCTCAGTCTGACTCTTTGTGATCCTATGGACTGGAACCCGCTGGGCTCTTCTGTCCATGGGATTTTTCTGGCAAGATTGCTGGAGTGGGTTGCCGTTTCCTTCTCCAGGGGATCTCCTGACCCAGGGATTGAACCCATCTCTCATGTCTTCTGCGCTGCAGACAGATTCTTTACCACTGAGCCACTGGGGAAGCCATGCAAAAATATGTGCACCTATAAATTTAAATAAATGTGAAGTTATATAAAGTAAAAAGAATGATAGGGAGGATGAATCAGGTTATACACAGTAGTTTCAAAAGAACTACATTTAACACAGTTGAAAGATGTATCAAAAGCTAACTGCAATGAGATATAAAATAATTTGATGACTTCAACATGGATTGATAATTAAGTTAAAAAACACATAGACATAAAAGAATATGATACATAATGTTCCTAGAAATTTTGGCACTTAGCAGGTGTTTAATTCTTATTTGCTGAATTAACCAATAAATTAGGTCTCAGTATGTAAGTGTATTTAGTATGTCAAGGTCGTATTTCAATAGGTTTGAAAAGGTTGGATTGTTGAATGAAATCTGGCAGAACAGATATCTAATTGGAAGAAAATTAAGTTGATTCCCAGCCTCGGTCCTACTGCAATGAATCAGAGGGATTATATACTCACTGTAAGAGTAAGCAATACCTTCAGGTGAACATTCAGAAAACCACACATAAAATCTACAGGAAGGCCAAATATCTTATTTTTTTTCCTTTTGAATTTGTATTTTATATTAGCACATAGCTTATTAAAATGTTGCAATAGTTTCAGGTGGACAGCAAAGGAACTCATCCATATGTATATATGTATGCATTCTATCCCAAATGCCACTCCCATCGAGGCTGCCACATAACATTGAGCAGAGTTCCCTGGGCTATACTGTAGGCCCTTGTTGGTTATCCATTTTAAATATAGCAAGAGGGCCAACTATCTTAACAAAGGAAGGAAACTCAGAAGTAAGAAGATAAGATACATTTAACTAAATGCAATGTAAAACATTTTAATAGCCAAATCACCCTTCAAAAGTCAGTTGAGAAACAGTAGTTAAAAAAAAATCATTTGAAAAGTTGACAATGGCAGAATAATAGGCATATGGTATAAGGGCATAAAATAATATAGGCAAGTCAAAATGGTGATCAAATACATGAGTCTTTGATCAAAGTCAGGAATAGTTTGGAAAACAATAAATACCTCTTTCACAAAAAAAAATGTTAAAGAGCTGTCACATTTTGGGATTGGGACTTTTAAACAGGTAGCAAAGGAGTTCACTAATGCTTCTGACAAATGTAAAATGTCGTGAGTTTGGGGAAGCAGGCTGAAGAAAGGCATAGATATTGATAGCGCAGAAGTTTTTTAACTGGCGGTTTCTCAGTCTCAGCACTATTGACCTTCTAGGGCAGTTTGGTCTCTGTGGTGGGGTCTGTCTTGTGCCTTGGAGGAAGTCTAGAGCTTCCCTGGTTTCCATCCACTCCTTTCCTGTGTGACAGACAGACATTTCCCCACACATTTCTCAACGTCTCCTGGGAGAAAAATCACTCCTGGTTAGAACTACAGTTTGAACTTCACAATCCCACAATATTTTTGTAGCCTTGTTATAACAGCAGTGGAATAACAAAGAATATGAAAGACTTTCAAAATTACGAGCAGCAGAGTCCCATCGTAACAATTTTTTAAAAAACAATGAAAGAATTTTATATAGTTTGTGGTTACACTTACCTACTGATGACACAAAACAGTGGTTCTCAAAGCGTCTCTGAGAACTTTGCAAAGGAATTCTGTGACATCAAAACTGTTTTCATAGCAATACTAAGATTCTTTTCACTCTGGTTCCATCATGAAGGTACAGCAGAGGGTTCTCCAGGCACATGACATGTGGCATCACAATAGCTGAATGTAGAAGCAGACATGAAATCTAGTTGCCTTTCCCTCCCACCCAGGGATATTTTAAAATTGAAGGATAATTGCTTTACAATGTTGTGTTGGTTTCTGCCACCATTGTGGCATATTCTACAGCCACTGAAAGAATGAAACAAACAAAAAGAGTATCTATGATGTACATAGGATTCTATTCATTCATTTTTAGAAAAGGGGATGAATAGACATGTGTGCATGATATAGAAACACATTTTAAATGAAAGTAATAACCTTGGTAGCTCAGCAGTAAAGAATCTGCCTGTCATTCAGGAGAACTGAGGGACATGCAGGTTAAATCCCTGGGTCAGAAAGATCCCCTGGATGAGGGCATGGCATCCCACTCCAGTATTCTTGCCTGGAGAAATCTATGGACAGAGGAGTATAGCAAGCTACAGTCCATGGGGTTGCAAAGAGTCAGACATGACTTAGCAATGACACAATCACAATTTATGAAAAAACTGTCAGTAAGAATGAATTAGGTTAAATATAGTAGTGGTTATAAATATAATAAATGTATAATATATATTTATATTTTTATATAATATATATAATATATAACATATTATATAATACAGTGCTTGCTTTGGCAGCACATATACTAATATATTTATATATGAATATATAAATAATTGTTTATAACAAAATTTAATGAAAATCTATATCTAACATAAAAATATAAAATAGTAATAATTTAATAACATCAATATAAGTCACTAATTGAAGACTAAATTATCAAAGACTTGGACATAAAATAATATAACAAAACCTTTTCAAATGGGAGGTAGTATCTGTGTTATGATTTCATCTTATCTAAAGATATATGAATTCAAACATGTTTATTGAGATACAGGTTGTCTCTAGTCTTCTGGTAAAAAAAAAAATAGGTCTTCCTTTTGTTAAATGTCTTCAAAGGCCTAAGGAGATGTGAGTTTTAGAAATACATCTAATCCCCAGATGCTAAACAGAGCAGTAAGGAATAAAGGAATGTGAAAAACAGTCAGAAATATGTATAAAGAGTGATTTATTATCCCCAAGGGATGCAAGAGAACTTTCATTTTTCATTGTCATTTCCATTTAAAACAAAGATTCACAATTTTAGAAAAGGGGATGAATAGACATGTGTGCATGATATAGAAACACATTTTAAATGAAAGTAATAACCCTGGTAGCTCAGCAGTAAAGAATCTGCCTGTCATTCAGGAGAACTGAGGGACATGCAGGTTGAATTCCTGGGTCAGAAATATCCCCTGGAGGAGGGCATGCATCCCACTCCAGTATTCTTGCCTGGAGAAATCTATGGACAGAGGAGTATAGCAAGCTACAGTCCATGGGGTTGCAAAGAGTCAGACATGACTTAGCAATGACACAATCACAATTTATGAAAAAACTGTCAGTAAGAATGAATTAGGTTAAATATAGTAGTGGTTATAAATATAATAAATGTATAATATATATTTATATTTTTATATAATATATATAATATATAACATATTATATAATACAGTGCTTGCTTTGGCAGCACATATACTAATATATTTATATATGAATATATAAATAATTGTTTATAACAAAATTTAATGAAAATCTATATCTAACATAAAAATATAAAATAGTAATAATTTAATAACATCAATATAAGTCACTAATTGAAGACTAAATTATCAAAGACTTGGACATAAAATAATATAACAAAACCTTTTCAAATGGGAGGTAGTATCTGTGTTATGATTTCATCTTATCTAAAGATATATGAATTCAAACATGTTTATTGAGATACAGGTTGTCTCTAGTCTTCTGGTAAAAAAAAAAATAGGTCTTCCTTTTGTTAAATGTCTTCAAAGGCCTAAGGAGATGTGAGTTTTAGAAATACATCTAATCCCCAGATGCTAAACAGAGCAGTAAGGAATAAAGGAATGTGAAAAACAGTCAGAAATATGTATAAAGAGTGATTTATTATCCCCAAGGGATGCAAGAGAACTTTCATTTTTCATTGTCATTTCCATTTAAAACAAAGATTCACAAGTTAAAATTACTGGAATGAAAGCCATTTTAGTAAAAAAAAAAAAAGAAAGAAAGAAAGAAAGAAAAAAAGCAATAGAGAGAAACAATAAAGCTAATAGGTTCAACTCCACAATTTATAAATTATCATACATTCACTACATGTATGTCTACACATACATAAAAGAAGTGTCATTGTCTAGTTGGTAACAAAAATAGCAATTTCTTTTTTGAAACAAAATAATCAAAATGAGGAATAAAAATGCTCTGACCCTCTTTGTTAAAAACAGAGGACTCAGACAATTTGCAATAGAGAATGTAAGTGGTTAACTACCCCATGAAAATATATTACCTCATAGGGAATGAAAAAATTATAAAGTAATGCTTATTTGCATATAACTTTTAACCTATTAATCTTTTTTCTATGTGAATACCCAGAGTGAGGGAAGATACTGTGAAATGTATGTCTCATTTACTGCTACTGCAAGTATGTATTTGCAAACATTCCCTGGTCTGGATCTTTCTCATGAATGTGGAAACAAAGTCAATTATGCTCCATTTTAAAAATAAAAGAAATGCCAGCATTTCACTATCTTGCCAGATCAATATTTTACTGTTCTACTCCCTTTTAATCCGTGGCTAATTCATATCAATGTATAACAAAAACTACTGTAATGATGTAAAGTAATTAGCCTCCAACTAATAAAAATTAAAAAAAAAATTAAAAAAAAAAAAGATCCTTGGGCTTATATTCTACTATCATTTAAGTATCAAAAATGAGAATTGCTTTGCTGAGATCAAGTTCCCTTCTCCTTTGGCATCATAAATAAAGACATTAATTTATTAAGCAAGCTAGCAAATAGCCACAGTGATCTTTGGTCTCAGAATAAGGCTGCATTGGCCCTTGGGTGACCTCAGGTCACTTTCTAGGCTTCTATTCTCTTTGATCTTTTCCTGCAGTATCTACTGAAATCTCAGGCTCACCTTGATGGGAACTCTGAGAAGAAGATCACTGGGTGGAAGTCCAAATTCCTCCCTGGATGGTTGATGATGGAGACTGAAGCTCTATATCCAAAGCAGAAGGAAGGGGGCAAGCCCCGGTCTCCAAGGCAGATTTAAGAGCCTAAACAACTGTGTTCTGTGCAGACTAATGTTGCACATGCCCAGGGACTGCTGCTCCCTTTATCTGCTCATTAAGAATGTTTCCTTTTTGTTGCTCTAAACTCTAAGAACATGACTTCCCTCTGGGACACTGCTCTGACAGAAAGGAAAGTTCCCAGCTAATTTCCTGATCCTAGGAGACTAAGTACATAAGCCAGGTAATTCAGGTCTTGTTACTCCTCCTACATTAACACTCCTGTCTTTAAGAGCTGTAAACCTTCTAGTACTTCATCATAATACTGAATTAAAATTTTCTCAAAAGTCTAATACTGAGGAATTTGTCTTAACGAACATTTTGGATCTTCAAAGCCTTCACTTGTGGGGTCAAGTCAGTATCTGTAGACAATTATTCTCCTCCTTAGAAAAAGAGAGTAACATTTTGTCTTTAATTAAAAAACAAAACAAAACAAAAACTTGGGCACCAAATTCATTGGCTTCATGATAATAATTAAAAAAACAATTAAGAACTTCAAACTTATACCACAAGTTCACATGTATCATTAGTTCTTTATTATAAAATGCTTAGTAATTACAGGAGGAGGTACATTTAGATTTTACGCACGATAACCTAGCTTAGCTTAACAAAGTGATTCTTTGATTTACTTTTTAATGAAATTTCAATCTATGAAGTAATACTTTTATAAACTCTATTCTCCACTGTAGAAATGGATCTTAGAGGGATTTAATATTTTGTCCAGTATAAAACCAAGTAAGGAGTGGAATCTTGATTGAAAATTCCATCAGGATTTTTCTAACTCTCAAACTCTGGGGCACTGGTCATCAACCAGAGATGATTTGTCCTCTGGGGATATTGGCAATGTCTGAATTGTTTTTCAGCCACTCAGTCATGTCTGACTCTCTGCAACCCCAGGGACTGCAGCACGCTAGGCTTCCCTGCCCTTCACTATCTCCCGGAGCTTGCTCAAACTCATGTCCATTGAGTCGATGATGCCACCCAACCATCTCATCCTCTATTGCTCCTCCTCATTCCCTCAATCTTTCCCAGCATCAAGGTCTTTTGCAATGAGTTGG